TAAGCCAACGCAAAGCCCGTTTATCATTTAACAAGGCGGCTGGAAAGGCATCCAGCCAGAAGGACGATGGGGTTGTGCCTGCTAGGGATGTTTCCCCTTAACCTCGCGATCCTACAGGGTCAAAACCGCAGCGTGGTGGAACCTGCAAGCACCACAGTCAGGAACCGTGAATGAGAACAGACTGGAAGCGAACTACGGGCACCACCTGGGGCTGGACGGGGCTGGAGCCCCATCGTGGCCGTCCGCCAGCCGCCGGGGTAAAGCTGCGCTGGTGCTGCGCGAGCGGAACCATTTTTCAGTTTTGATAGCATTGGTGTTGGGTGTTTAAAGAATGCCCGAAGAGAACCTGATTTTCAGAAAACCTCTAGCACCAATCCTCTGAGAGTTAAGACTTTAACGTGTCTCCAATTAGGAACTCAACACCACCAAGCATTTCTGATGATCCTGGCGAAGAGCGGGATTCATCTCCAATTAGCAAGCAGGGTAACCAAAGCAGAAAATGGGATTTTTTTTCTTTTTTTTTTTTGCCTCCCAGCGCAACGCAGCTTTAAATGATTTATTTTAAATTACAAGGAGTGAGTGCGAAGACTTGCAGAACAACAGTACTGTGCCGTGAAAGCACCTGCTTACCGAGCAATTGCAGCCGAGAGAAATGGCAGCCACGTCAGCAGCGTGCAAGCGGCCCACAACCCCAGCGCGCCACGTCCGAGGTGCACACAGCGCTCCCCCCCGCTCTCCGCACCGCCACCTCCGCAGCCGCTGCGCCGGCAAAGCCAATCCTCAGCCTTCCCTAAGAGCAAAAGTGAGAAGGCGTTAGCGCCGGGCACGCGCGGGGTAACCCCGTGCCGCGGGAACGTCACCGTCGGACACTGGTCCAGCAGAACTGGCTGACTCTGACAGCAAAAACATTTTGTTCATCTCACTCCCCCCCCACCCCTCCCCCAAGACAGTTAAGAAAATTCCATATGCACGACATACATATCACAGTTAAAAATAAAGTGTTCTGTACGAAGGCTGAAGCCTGGCTAGGACGCCTCCGCTGACGACGACGGGCCTGCGCGCAGTCCTTCTTCACACCCCCGGGGCACGGTCCCTCGTCACGCCCAGGTGGGAATGGGTCTGAAAAGAAGCTGTTTGCCTACCTACGTGTCAAGCTTCATGCTTTTATTCCAAAGTGAATGATTTTCCAGCTCAGGTCTTGGGACTAATAAAATAAGCAGCGTTTAACATCTGTGACAGGCGGGTTTCAGCATACAGCTTACGGACAAAGGCAGGCCCAGCTCTGGATTCTGGCTACAGGGGTAGAGGATAAGCTCTGGAGCGCAGGTGGTGGCGATCCGCCGCTGCCAGCCTGAGCCTGCTTCTGCAAGTGGCCCAACGTCTACACCCGTATGATCTATGTGCGCAAGTCCGGTCCGGGAACGCGCTCGACGCGGAGGCCAGCACCGCTGGGTGCAGACCTGCGCCTGAAACTGGTCCAGTCTTTACAGGAGCAGGTCCTTCAGCCTAGGCAGGAGATCCGGCGTTCCGGAGTCAGGGACACCCCTTCAGCTGACCTTGCTCCCGGGCAGCCTGGAGCGCAGTCCATTTCTCCACACTGTTTTACTCTACTATCCCAAGGCAGCGCTACGCGTGTCCGTCCCCCCCCCAACTTCTCCATGACCGACTACCTGGGGAGTGACAGCAGGAGTCCTGTGCTGGGGCCATGTCGCTCTCCAATGTTGTCACTAGGTACAAAGTGCAAAAGTGTTGCTGTTCCTGCATCCATTAAAAACTTTAAAAACAGAACAAAACAAACAGAAAAGGATTTCCATAATAATTTGAAAATACATTAGTCTCCAAAAAGCCAGCAAACACCCGATAACCTGTTTGTGCCATATCTGCTCTCGCTCCCGCACGGCAGCAGTCCAGTGGATCCTTCTCCTCTCGGCTGGCAACCACCACGCGACCTTCTCTGCACACCCCCAGCCACCGGAGGACGACACCCGGGAAGCTGAGGTTTGGGGGCTCGGACAGAAGAGACCGATCGCCAACCGACCCGAGATCCTGCAGCAAGCTGGCGCGGCTCCGGAGGAGAGAGCGCCGCGCAATTCCCCGCAACGCAGAGACTTCCCACGTCCCAAGACAGCTCCGCGTTACAGCGAGTTAAGCTACCGGGCCTCTGGCTTGGGACAACGTCAGGGACTTCCCTCCCACCCCACAAAAATGTAAAATCAAATCCCTCCCTGCTTCACCCCACGTAAAGTGTTTGCATCTTTTCCTCCTATGAAATGTTTCTGATAAGGCTTTATTGCTATACAAAAGCGGTGCAAATGCTGCCCCGAAGACAGCTCCATCAGGAACTTTGGTCACACGACTGCGGGACTCCTGGGCACTGTCCAAGTCCCAGCGTTAGACCTGCTACCTTTCCGAAGAGAAGCTGAATACTGTGTGCAATAACACGAAGAAAATAGGACCGAACCCCAAGTACAAAACAAAAACAAGGGCGAGAGGGCAGGGGAGAAGGAACTAAAATGGGGCAGAAGGCTTGCTTGGGAAGAACCCCGTGGTTCCCGTGATGACTTACTGATCGATGCTACATTTAGACAATGCAAGTGTCTTTCAGAACAGATTGTTGGTGTTGAAACTGCATGTCTGGTCCTGAATGCCAGCTCTCTCATCAATGCAGCATTTATTAAAATTGCATCACCAGGTAGCAGCCTGGCCTGGATCACACACGTCCCATTGCATCCGGTTCATCAAGCAGGGCCATTTAATGTGGCTTCAGCACAGGGCAAGGCTTCTTCTTTCCTAAAGAGAGACACAGAGGGTAAGATTAGAGAAGTGTAACCGCTGGAACGTACTTGCTCCTACAGCCTGCGCTCATCCGGCTGGAAGCTTTTCTCTTCAGCAGGCCCTGAGCCATCCCTCCTCCATTTCTGTCTCCTCTGCCTGCTAAAACATTAGCTCCCTGATGAGAACCTCCTCCAAGACCTTTACAAACTACTACATTTAAAAATCAGAAACTAAGAAGTCAGCTTTGACCACCAATTACACAACATTAATGAATTAATTGTCCCCCACTTTGCTGTCACCCTTGGGTCCTGGCTCAGCTCCCCCAGCCCGCTGGTGTGCTCAGGGCCCTGACCGATGACACTGAGCTGGGGGGGAGTGTGGATGTGCTGGGGGGGAGGGGGGCTCTGCAGGGGGACCTGGCCAGGCTGGATCCTGGGCCCAGCACAATTGGGCTTGGGCCTCTGGAGACCCAGGAGGACGATGTGCTCAGCCTGGTGGCAGAGCTGAAAGCGGACGTGGAAAGGTTGAGGAGTATCAGGGAGTGTGAGAGGGAGATGGGTTGGTGGAGCCACACCCCACCATCCCTGAGGCCACGGAAGCAGATGGAGGCTCCACAAGAAGCTGAGACTCCCCTGCCCTCTTGCCACCAAGCAGAAGAAGGGGACCTAAGCAACGGTGGGGAATGGAAACAGGTCCCTGCTTGGGGCGGCAGGTGAATCCTCTCCTGGCCTCCCTCATCTTCCCAATTGTCCTTACACAACAGAGATGGGGCTCTGGAACTTGAGGGTCAAGCAAAGGAGGATGTAGGCCAATGTCCATCCAGGGGGTTGCTTAGGGTGAGCTCTTGGTGCCAGCCCCAGGAAGATGATTGCTGTGTCACCATGGGCAGCGGTGGCCGTGTCACCGTGATGTCACTGTGGACTTGTGACATGGGTGCCCTTGTGGGTAGAAAGGGGGCTGTTCCTGGAGGCGGGGGAGCATCTGGAGAAGAGGAGGGGTGCTCGGTACTCTGGCCAAAGCTGCTGGGCAATGGTGCTAGCCCCAGGGCACCCAGGTGCCTGCCGCCCTGGCCCTGGCCTGACCTCCCAAGCCCTGGGGACTGACCAGGGATACACCTTCCCACCATGGCTCCCTGCACCATGTCCCGCTTGCTCGCAGAGGGAGGAGTGGTCAGAGCTGGTGGAAGCTGTTCAGGAGCAGGCTGAGGTCAAGAAGGTACTGGGCACAGGAGGGCCAGGGGGTCAACATGTTTGTGGGGGGAAGCCCCCTCAGAGCGGGCATGGCATGGACTCTTGACCACCACCTTTGCTTGTCCAGCTGCTCAGGAACAAGCTCCAGTGCCTGGACGCTGTCCTGTGCCCCCTGCTCTGGGTGAGCCTGCTTGGGCAGGGGGGTGGCACTGGGTGAGCTCTGGGGGGCCCTGCCAGCCCCGGCCAGGCTGGGATTCTGTGAGGCAGAAGCAGCAATAGCGCTGACAGCCAGGACAGATTTGAATGCAGTTCAGTGGATTGGCTGCATGAAGCTCCAAGCGCTGGTAGGAACTTCTGCCTCTCACCAAAAGCACCCACCAGAAGTTCCTGGAGGATGGCCCAGATGTCTGGCTTCAGTGAAGCACCATCGTCCGAGCTTCAATCTAACAGCGAGCGTGCTGCAGGAGGACCGAGACGCCCCGGAGAGGCTGTTTCGGCTCAGCAGGAGCAGCAGCACCGCACTATGGGTACGCATCTGCGGCCTAAACCAGGAGCCAGCGCAAAGCTGTGGAGGCGACCGCACTGGACACGCAGCAGCATTGCTCTCCGTATTTAAGAAGACCTGAACTGTCGCACTCGCACAGAATTAACATCATTTCTCCTTGAGATCACTTCCAGTTTCAGTTACCAAGGCACATTCCCACATTTCCCCGTAATATTTGAACTGCAAACGTCTCCACGCTCACCTGCGCACGCAGACCCGTACTACCTGAGCACTGGTTACGCACGGGTGAGAAACAAGCAGCCCGTTATTTTAATAAACCCCATGATTTGACAGCACTTCTGGGCAACAGATCGGAATGCGCAGCAGATCGCCACAGCTCTAGGCTACCGGCAGCGTCCGGCGCTCCAGGCCACGCCGGAGGTACGGCTCACCGTACCCCGATGGCAGAGTAACCCCGTTCGGTGACGGTTCTCTGTCGCGGGCTGGCAAGGGCGGGTTTTGACCACCTCACCTGTCTTTTGTGGCCGTTTCCGTGACAGCGGTGACGACAGCGGCGGTGTTCTGGTGCTCCTCCGGGTGCTGGGCCACGTTGTTCAGGGGTTTGGATGCTTTTGTCGTTCCCATGTCGGCGATGGCCAGCTTATCAATAACCATGCAGTCTGCGTCGCTGTGTGGGGAGAATTCAAGTTCCCGTTAAAATGTCAGTGCATGGGGCTTAAATTCCAACCGAGAAAAAACCCATTCCTCCTCCTCTCCTAGCACAGGCCACAAAAACCCCATAAAGAAATAAGAACTGGAAATAAACTGGCATTAAAAAGCAGCGCAGGCATCCTGGAGGCTGTTTCCTAAAAAATCAACAAGACGCCAGATACGCACAAGAACGGCCCCTCCTTGGGAAAGGCGTTCCCACTGCCCGCAGCAAAATCCAGCCTAGGAGCCCCCCGGGCATCCCCATCGCCCACAAACAGACCTCTTGCCCCCTCTGCCAGCACCGCTGCGGCGCGCTCTCCTGCGGACAAACAGGCAGCAGAGGGATGCCAACGCCAAGGACGTTCGGCCACGACTTTGCAAGCTTGGAGGGTCCAGAAAGTCCAGTTTACCACTGGGAGCAACAAACCAAGAGCAGACCGCTTGCCTTGGCGCTAACTGGGGACCACCAGCACCAGTGCACAGGACCGACCGCGCAACAGCCCGGGCTGGGGGAACCTCGGATCCGCTGCTCCGGCCTCCCGGGGCCAGGCAGCCCAGGGGAGTTCGCCCCTCCTGGAATTGCCCTCCGTTACCCAACAGCGCCAGCAGATTTCCGAGCCCACCGCTCCTTAAACTGCCGGGTTTGGCAAAGCGTTTTCTGGCCCAGCATGGGCACCTACGCTGCTCTGCTCTGCAGACTCTCCCCAAGCGGCACCTGAAGCTTCTGCGTGCGCCTAGAAAAGACTTAAATTTAAAAGTACAGAACCTAAAATCCCGAGGATGAGAAAAAAAGTCGACTGGATGCTCCTGAGTGGTGTCTGCAGAAGTCACAGCTGAATTCCCTTGCTTTCCGTAACGCATGGGACGGATCCCCATGCCCGAGGGGTAACACACCCAATGGCACTGCCCTACAGTAAAATAGAAGCTCAAATCCTGAAAAAGGGAAAGAACCAGCTAGCACAAGACCTCCAAATCTTCGACACGTGTATCGAAATGACCCATATTTCTAACTGGAGGAGTTACTTGCGTGAGCATCTTTATCCTTTGCCTTCTACGGCAGAGGACAAGCTCACACGGGGATGATCGGCCTCGCAGTTTTAACCCAGTCCCAGCTTCAGGAATGATTTCTTCTCCTTCTATCAGAGAGCGTGCCTACCAAGATGGAAGGAAAGCTCAGTGGGTGCTGCCGAGGGAGTTTATAAAGCAGGCGTCTAGTCGCGGTCTGGTAATGAAGGCAGGTGACAGAGATTTTGAACTCAAGGTTCTATTTCTGTCGCTACTTTCCTGTGTGCTCTTGAAAAAAAAATACACAAAAAAATGAGGACTGATGAGATCAAAACATTCCTCTTCCTGGAGGGCTAACATGCCCTCAAAAAGCAACACCGCACGTACAGAAATGAACCCTAGAGAGGCTGCAGGGGATGGGTGAGACAGCAGAGACCTGCACTACGTTGCCAGAAACGTCATTGGAACACGACCTCCCACACGAGAAACTGGAGCTCATGAGATCTGAACTGTTCACAGATAAACTTCTTAAATTCAATTACTAACATTTCCATGACACGAGGATTCCAATGTTATGAAGTCCTGAGGTAACTTGACCACGAAGGGGGCATGGAAATTCATCTCCCTCCAACATTTCCTTTCCCCATCCCTGGAAACATTCCAGGCCAGGTTGGCCGGGGCTGTGAGCAACCTGATGTGGTTCAAGGTGTCCCTGCTCCTGCAGGGAGTTGGGCTGGGTCACCTCTAGGGGTCCCTTCCAACCCAAAACATTCCATGGTTCTATGATTCTATAACAGGCTCGGGGCAAAACAAAGCTGGACACGCGAGCCTCTGCATGGCCAGGGGAAGGGGGTAGAACAAACCCAGGAGTCTGTGCGGAACACAGAACCCCACGGCCCACGCAGGAGGGATAATGACAATATCTAACTCCAGCCTAGAATAAACTTCAGTCCCTGTAAATATTTTGCATTAGCATTCCTCTGGTCAGCTTATTTTTAGCAGCTCGCTGGGTCCCTTCCACGCCAGCCTGGTACAACCCCGCTGTCAGGGCGGGCGATGGAACCAGCCGCCCCCACGTCACCAACCTGCCCGGTGACGTGCTCCAGCGCCTGGAGGGACGGAGGGCACCCTAACCTGCGGGGAGGGCGACTGTTCCCTCCTGAGGCTGGTCAAGGCAGGCTGGGAAGAAGAGTTCTCAGCAACAACATCTGCATCCTCTCTGGACTCTTCTCAGTTAAGCCCCTGGAAACCAATCTGGAATCCTTCCCACTCCAGAAAGAATCAGGAATTTGTAAGCTCTCATTCAAAGCTACTTGCACAGACTTTTCCAACAGCAAGCATTAAGTCTGTCCAGAATTGCGCCTTTTTTCACAATGGACAAGCACTCAGCACAAACAACCTGTGGGTGCCACCTACAGCCATGCCCACCTACAGCCTTCCGACACCAGAGCCAGGACAGTTTTTCCTTTATGTTCACCGAGTTCGACATCGTAGCCAAATTCTGCAGCTTAACCACCAAGTTTGTAAACACTGCCCTGGAGGTCACTTGTAACACAGACTCCTCTCTACAAGCACCACAAAGCTTTCTGAGATACCCAACCACCCCAGCGCCCATGCTCAATGTCCAAACTCTTCTGCCTTATCAGACAATATGACCCACGCCATCCGGCCCAGCCGTCTTTCAGCCTGGAGCAGAGGGGGCTGAGGGGAGCCCTCATCGCTCCCTACAACTGCCTGAGAGGAGGGGGGAGCCGGGGGGGTCGGGCTCTGCTCCCAGGGAAGGGGCGATGGGACGAGGGGCACCGGCCTCAAGTTGTGCCAGGGCAGGGTGAGGTTGGCCATGGGGAACAATTCCTTCCCCTTGGGGCTGTCAGGGGCTGGAAGGGGCTGCCCAGGGAAGGGGTCGAGTCCCCAGCCCTGGGGGGATTTAACAGCCGGGCAGAGGCGGTGCTGAGGGCCAGGGTTTGGGGGTGGGATGGCAGGGGTAGGGGGGCGGTTGGGCTGGGGGAGCTTCAAGGGCTTTGCCAACCCAAACGATTCCGTGATCTTGCCCTCTAGAGGGTTAGAACAGAGTTTGCATACAGTAAGTTGGAGACATCTCCTAACCACCGGCCGGTTGCTTCAGGACAGCCCTGGCACAGAGCCTGGTGGTCTTCTCCTCACTGGGATGCTTGGTGAGCATCGGGCTTAGCAGAGCCGACCCAGTTTGCTTCACCGCAGGGCTAACGCAGCGGAGCTCAAAGCGTCCCGGACAGGGCAGTCTCTGCTCGACCATTTTATGCAACGGGGCTTCTGCAGGAGAACCTTAGGAAGATCATCTTGGGGTCTGGAGCCAGAAGAAACTTGGAGGCAGCAGTGGACTATTATTGCCTGGTGGACAGCAGAGTGAAGGAGGCAATTCATCAGCTGGGAATCTCCGGGGGTGGGGAAATTCCTGGGGGCCATTACAGACACCTGCGAGGAACACCTCCTGCCGCAGGCAACTGCAGAGCGTGGGACTGGCTGAGTTCTTGCCGTTTTTGAGGGTGCTGAAGTGAGGAATACCCCCCAGTGACACATTCGCAGGCTGCTCTGAGGCACAGCAGGGGATTGCACAGGGAGCCGAAGGGGAACAGGTCGCTCATTCTCGCCACTCTTCCTGATGGGTTCGTTACCTGATGTATTTCGTAGCTTAAACATCATCTGTGGTTTGTCTTTCAAGGCAGCAAGGTCCTTGAGGCAGGTACCAAGGTGTGGTGATGCGTGCTGCCAAGCACTTGGATTTCACTTAGAATAATTAGGTGATAATTGCACCTGGGTTGGGGTAACCCCTGGTATCCACACAGGCTGGGGGAAGAGGATGGAGAGCAGCCCTGCCCAGAGGGACTGGGGGGCACTGGTGGGTGAAAAGCTGGCCATGAGCCGGCCATGGGCGCTGGCAGCCCAGAAGCCAACCCTACCCTGGGCTGCATCAGGAGAAG